ATCTATTGTACCTTTCAGTTTTATTTACCCTTTCAGGTTCTTACACTAGGGAGACAATACAATCAATGTTTACATATGCAGGTCTGATTATTTCACTTACAAGTATGGTCTCTAGTTACATCTATTTACCTATAAAAGTTTATCTTTCATTATAGCTGAGTAATATTCCATTGTATAAAAATACCACTTTTTTTATCCATTCCTCAGTTGATGGCCATTTGGGTTGTTTCCAAGATTTAGCTATGACAATTTTTTTTTCTTATTTTTTAGCTATGACAAATTGTGCTGCTATAAACTTGGGTGGACATATATCACTGTGGTATGATGTATTCAGGTCTTCCAGAAAAATATGCAGAAGGGGAATAGCTGGGTTGAATGGGACCTTTAATCCTAGTTTCTTGAGGAATCTCCAAACTGCTTTCCACAGTGGTCGTACAAACTCTACATTCCCACCAACAGTGGAGAAGGGTTCCTTTTTCCCCACAGCCCTTTCAGCATTTGTTATTGGTTCATTTCTTGATGACAGCCATTCTTTCTGGGGTGAGATGGCATCTCAGTGTTGTTTTAATTTGCATTTCTTGAATGACTAATGATGTTGAACATTTTTTCATGTACTGCATTTATTTGCCATTTGTCTTTCTTCATCTGAGAAGTGTGTCACCTCAGAAGCCCATTTTTTTATTGGGTTTTTGAATTTTGGGGGCCTGATTTCTTTTTAATTCATTTTATGTTCTAGATAGATGTCCTTTATCTGAGGGACTGATGGCTAAATTTTTTTCCCAATTTGTGGGTTTTCTTTTTACTCTATTGGTGATTAAGAGCCAGTTCCTGAGCTTCATTAGCCACATTTCTAATGTTAAATTCATCTGGCTAATGGCTGTTATATTGGAATTGGACAGCACTTCAGTCATTCTAGAAAGTTCTAGAATTGGTCAGCACTGCTTTACAGAATAACTCTTCAAAAATGCCAAAGTCCTCAATGACAAGGAAAGATGGGAAGCCAGGCATGGTGGCCTATGCCTGCAGTCCCAGCACTTGAGAGGCCAAGGTAGAAGGATCGCCAAAAGTTCAAGGCCAGCTTGGACTACATAGTTAGCCCAAGGCCAGCCTGAACTACAGAGCAAAACCCTGTTTCAAAAACAACAACAACAAGGGGCTGGGGATTTAGCTCAGCGGCACAGCGCCTGCCTGGCAAGCGCAAGGTCGTAAGTTCCATTCCTGGTACTGGAAGAAAAAACAAAAAAACAAAACAACAACAACAAAAACATTGGAGGACTGTGGTAGAATCAAGGAGACCAAAGTGTCATGACAACTAAATGTAGTATAAGATCCTGAAACAAAAAGGATGTTAGTGGGACAAATAAGGTTTTTCGATTAGTTAATGATACCAGTGTCAAGTATTCTGATTTTAGTTATTGTACCACAGTTATGTAAGACACATATGTATTATTTTTGCAATTGTGTTATAAGTATGAAATTATTTCAAAATTCTAAAATAAAACAAATCTTTGTGGTTTTTTTTTTCTAGTACTAGGGATAGAACCCACACTCACTCATGATAGATAGAGTGTTGCAGGGCTGGGGATATAGCTCAGTGGGATACACCACCAGCTCACATTTCCCTGAACAACACTCAATCTTTTTTTTTTTTAATGTACCGGGAATCGAACTCATGACCTGGCACTGGCCAGGCAGGCATTGTGCCACTGAGCTATATCCCCAGCCCTGCAACACTCAATCTTTTGACTCTTTATTGTTTATTGAATCCTGCCCTATTTCATGGGTGCAATTCATTGATCACTGTGCACTTACTAGTGGAAGCTTCCCTCCCAAGGTATTAAAGCTCATCCCAGGCACGCATGCCCAGGTGTCGGGCTGGTGCTGCAGGTTGGCCTGGGACCCATATGTGATGACTCAGCAGCCACCAGCTCACATTTCCCCCAGAGAGCAGAGGTCAGAGCCGAAGATAGAGCCAGAGGGCCTCAAAGAGAGTCATGGTCTCATGGCTGAGTCCTTCCAGGAATTGTCCCCAACTGAAAAAAGAATAGCTGTTACGACTGCGTTTTGAATAATTATTTTACAATTATTTTTTATTTTTATTAGTACCTATTTGTAGTACACAAAGATTGCATTCGTCATGGAGAGTTGGTACATGTATCTAACAAATTGCATTTTTTACAATTAAATGGTTATTCTTTGCCTTTTTTTTTTTTTTTTTTTTGGTACTGGGAACTGAACTCAGGACCTTGCTCTTGCCAGGCGGGCACTTATGTCACTGAGCTATATCTCCAGCCCCTTAAATGGCTATTCTTAAACTTTTTATTCTGTCAGTTTATTTACTATATACGCTATGGGCATGTGTATATATTTATATGCTTTTGTACAGCTGGTGGTGGCTCTCTGGTATCTTCTAGTGTTATCTTTTTCTACAGTACGCAGACTCTGAGTCCTCTCCTGGGTTCACCCATTCCTTGACCAGCTGTGCCAAATGATTCAGGCCAAGATCTGGGCAATAACGGATCTGGAAGGTGCCTTCCTCTCCCCTCAGGGTCTCAGGGGAAGGAGCTGGCTTCACTCACCTTGGCTCCTGAGTCAGATGCCACTGCAGTGGGCAACTTTTCTTCTCTGGCCTTTAGGGCCAGCATGGACTCCTCTGGCTTTGGGACATTACATTGCTGGTAGCCTGCCACTCAGCAGCCGCCACTTTGCCCTTCCTTGAGAACCACTGATAGGCCGCTTGGCAACAGACGATCAGCAGAGATTTACAGGGACAGCAAGGGCATGGGCCCACCGCCAGGGTATGTCTTTGAAGTCAGATGTCAAGAGTTGCTAGAAGCATAGCGCAGGGAACTTGTACCAGGCCACAGCCCTCCAGGGTCGAAGCTTCTGGCCACCCTGCAGTGACTACTTGATCCAAGTCCTCCTTGCTGTCACTTTCTAGGGTCCCTCCCCACTTGTCAGGGGTTCAGTGCTGAAACAAGTCACTTCTGAAATTTCATGCATGAAAAGATGTAGTTTCTTGATGCATGATATACCTTTAGTGAAGTAACATCTTAATTGTATGACTAACTTTTATCCAATTAAATACCTGTTGAACCAGCACCCAGATAAAAATCAGGAGTATTTCCATTTCCTCAGAAAGTTCCCTCATAGTCCTGTATCCATCTCTACTGCCCTCTCATTCTTTTTGTTTGTTTGTTTTTTTCCAGTACCAGGAATCAAACCCACGACCTCTGGCTTGCCAGGCAAGCGCTGTGCAGCTGAGCTAAATCCCCAGCTCCTAAAGATTTTTTTAACTTTTTTTTTTTTTTTTTTGGAAAGGTGTTGAATTTATTTTTTTTTTCCGGTAGCAGGAATCCAACTCACAACCTTGCGCTTGCCAGGCAGGCGCTGTGCTGCTGAGCTAAATTCCCAGCCCCTGCCCTCTCATTCTTTGCTATAATTTAGCTTATCCTGTTATTGAATTTAGTATAAAGAGAAGCATAAAGTGTGTATGGTTTTGTGTCTGGCATCTTCCACTCAATATAATGTTTTTTATGTTCACCT